TATATATATATATAGGAATGGTAATTGTTGTATTAAATATGAGAGAAAATTCGTTCAAAAATTATGAATTAAATTATTGATAGGATGCTGTTTGGTGGTTTTTTAATGATTTACGCTATTCATTTGTGAACATACTTGGTTTTTAATTTGGACTTTCGGATTTTAGACATTTTTTCTACCTATACAACTATTTTAAAGATGAGTGCGTCATCTTTGGTGTTCGAGGGTTCACTTATATTATGCAATTAATTGTTTTAGAATTTTAATATTTTAATATAATATCTTTCAGAATGCGATGGCGAATAGTTTAATTTTTCAAGTTAAATGGTTTAATTTTAACTTTTTAATTTTTAAATTTTTGACAATTGGATATTTTCCGATTAACTTACCAAGTTGCAATAGGGGAAAGGTTGGCGTCATCAAACTAGTTTAAGCCCACTTATCGGTCCTAAGTCCGAGGTTGCACTTGGATATTTTATAAATTTTTATTTTATAATTTTTTAATTTTGTTTGAAAACGTTGGAATTTTATCTTCTATATTCGCCATTGATATTTTGAAATGGGATTTAATGCTATAAGATTCATAAGATTTCGGTTTTTTAATTGACTATTGAGTTGTGATTGAGTTATATATATATATATATTAATTTTTACTATTTAATAAAAAGTAACTAAAATAAAAATTTCCTTTGTTGACTTTTTTTATATATTACTTGTTTTATGAAGAAAATCGGGAAATGTTCTTGGTTCCATGAAAAAATTCTCTATATAGAAAAATTTGCAATATAGGGGTTCGTATTATGGAGGTTCGACCGTAGCCACACTGCTTCATGAAATATCCAGCGAAGCGGGCAGGAACGGGTAGTTACTAATAAAATAAACTGCTATCGCAGAATCATCTACCCTCATACACCTAACGCCCTATGCATCTGATTAAAACACCACTTCTCAGTACGTAGGAGATGTAAGGACCAAATGGTGTAAGTCAATTTTCCATACAAAAAATAATAATAATAACAAAATAATATTGAAAGGTTTCGATTATCTGTCCTTGAGGTTATGATATATAGAAGTTAAAAGTCAATTTTCCGTTTATTTGCGAAATAAAAAGATGAGTGTTTCATTGTTTCAGTTACAGAGTTTTTCTCTAAGTTAAGCTGCTTAGTTTAATGCGATTAAAGGAATTCAAGAACTTAATGGATTCCAGCTTTCTTTTTTTTCTCTGCGAGAGCCGAGAAATTGTTTTAATGGCTTAATATGAAGATTTTCTAATGACTAATTATTTAAAAAGATTCTTCATGAATTATACGAGTAATCAAGAGTACTAAGTAGTTTTACAAAAGTAATTGGTTTTTTAAGTAATTTTAAGAATGTTATTGTTAAAAAGAGGTATGCTGTCCTTCTTTGGAATTTAAAGTCATTGTATTATTGTTCTCTCTAAAAATTTAACTTTTAGTTACTTTTGCATGAGTTGTTTTTTTTATTTAAAATATAAAAAACAAATGGCTTTCATTATAAATAAAATAATTACATACCCAAACAGGAATATTAATCTAAAACATTCCCTAACCATTACTGCTTTGTTTTTAAGATCTAGTATATCTGCACTAAAAATATAGAAAATATATTGCATTCTAAAATTCGAGACTGATATCCATACAATGAAATTCATTGCTGATATATTTTTATAAAACGCATTTTTAACTTTTACAATGCATTAAATTTACATATTTTTACTTTTAATATACTTTACTTTCCAAAAATAACCGATGTAGAAACCTTTTTTTATTCATACAGTAATTAATGAATTACTTTCATCTAAATTTAAACAAAATAAAACCAATTTTACCTAGATAATTGGCTAAATTCATGTGACGTCATTAGTCTCATGATTAACTACAATCACGTTTTTCGAGCCAATCAGCTCATGAATTTATGTGACGTCATAGTCGCATGGTACATGCAATCACATGTTTCCAACCAATCAGTTTATACGCTTCGCCGATGCCAACTTTTGCTTTTTGCAGATTGTTTTAAAAAGCATCTATTAGTAAACAATAATAATACACATAAGTAAATAAAATTCACTGGTTTAAAAGTACACGTGTAGTTAAAAAAAAATTTATTAATTTTGAAAAATGTTTTGAAGAATTTTAATTTAAATCAGTGGAGATTATGAGATAGTATGTATCATGCGACCGTAATAAACTTAGACTATTGGCTTGCGTATAATCGTTTTAAAACATCTAAAGCTCACAGCTTTGCTGAATTCATCGGAAAAATTAATAAATTACAATTTAATGGAAGAAAAGATATGATCTGAAAATATAAACTTAAAAATTATAACTGAGAATATATTTTATTTTTCATTATAAATATGTTGAGACTCAATTTTTTTTTATAACATCTGTTTCACAAAACTCATTTAATCGAAGCAACCCATTTTATCTTAATTAGTGTTTTGCCTCTAATTGAGACATCTGTACTTTTCCACAGTTTTGATTCAGCGTGCGATCTTTAAATTGATTCCGCCAGCTGCAATTGTCACGTGAAATTTCCTACCATGTTTTTGTGACATGTAATTGGAGTTATTTTATTGTTGAAAAGAGAGGGTTTCTTCTCTGTACATCGATATCGTAAAAAATCAAAAAAGCTTTCAGGTTTTTCGTTTTACTTTCTGCCTCTCTTGACGTATGTGTGGGAGTTATTTTGGAGTTGAATTTTTTTCTTCTTAAAATGAATTCAATCATATAAATTATTTGCTATGCAATATTTTTTTAAAAAAAAACATACATTACACTAGAAATTTAAATAAGAATAAAATCAATACTGTTTATATTTCTCTGTGGATACTTTTAATAAAAGGGGCCAGAAGCTCAATGAGATATTTTCAATGTACATGTAGTGCTTATAGTTTCAGTCACTATTCTACCTAACCCTAAGGGTAAAATAACGAGGATTACAGCAAATTAAATGTAACTGTGCTTTGTAACGTCGTGAGTAGTTAACAAACAAAAAATTATCACAGCTTAATTTTAAAATAAAAGAAGTATTTATTTGCTTCT